TTCTTTCCCCCCCAGAGAAAACTGTGCTATGGGCATGGAATTTTACCCCTGTTGGGAAACAGAAACTTTGCAAAAAAACCAATAAGGCTCAGAGAACCCCAAGGACTCCACAGTTCAACCCTGAGCTACACACATTCTCTTCTATTAAGCTTATGAAAGTCAAGAAACCCAACAGGACAGTGGCACTGTATGCAGGCATGTCTAGAAATTATGGAGTCTGCTTGCTTTGGCAAGTGCTGCTGGAAAAGGTGTTGAGCAGCCTCAGATCACTTGCCAAAAGCTCGGTACACCCCAAGCTTTTTCAAGCTGGGCAAAACAGCATTCCTCTCCACCTTCTCTGCCATATCCTCGCTCAATTCAGAAGCTAAATTTAATCTTAATCTTAATACATTCTGTCACAGGTATTGTATTTTATGAAGGTATGGGCGGGGCAGAGTTGAAGGGGTAAATGAGTATATTCAATAATGTTAAAACACCTGAAAACAGGATTTCACAGCCACATATCGGGGATACTGAGAGGTTTTCAATACTAAATTTCCTAGTTGAGGGTGAAAGGGCATTTTGAGAGGAAATCTGGTATCTCTTGCTAACGGGAGTTTTGTTCATCAAAATGCTTTGCTGACAGCACTGTTCTGAATAGATGTCTGAATAGACATCAAGGATGTCTAACTAGGTAGATCTGTGATTTGAAAATAGAGACTTGGAGCTTTCGGCAGCATATTTATGGAAAGCTGAAGACGGAGAGTACATGTCAGAGGTCATGGACGAAAATAAGACAAAGCTGGAATAGTAAGCAACTACAAAATAAATTTGCTTACCATATTCTGGTTTTGTTATTATGCAGAAGAAAAGCTGCTGTGTGTGTTTGTGTGTGTGTTGTTATTGTCATGCTGGCAATTGCTTAAATGTTCCAGAAGACAAAATATTTCAAAAACAATCATACTCTAATATTGAACCTGGAAAAATATTTAAGAGTAAGGAAAACAGGAAAAATAATAAAAACAGATATAGTCTACCTTACAAGGCCCAGCATAGATACTGAATAAACTGTGGAATTTGAATTATTTATTTATTTATTTATT